GAGGATTGGCAGGACGCTCCGTAGCAGCAGGAGCAGCGGGACTCAGGCTCATGTCTTTGGAACGTGTTATTGGGAGTGACCGATCTCAGGAGGAGGACATCGTTCTTCCTCAAGTAGAAGGTCAACAAAAAAGAAGACCCTCGGGAGATGGATCGACGGCCATCGAGACGTTTCTCACGCACAGGGACAGGCCCTCGACAGGGTAGCGAGGCTGTAACTCTTCAGGGGAGGATTCAGCCCCATCGTTCTCCCAAGAAGCGGTGGTGGCTTTGTACTGCCAACCTCATGCTGAGCTCAGCCGATAGGACCATCAAGACTCCTCAGGGGCCCCTCAAGGTAGCCTTATAGCAGCTGAGCCCTTGACCCTGTGTACCACCTGGAGCTGCCAAGCAATGTCTGTGGTGGTTGTGGTGGTTCGGTGCTGCCCGGTTCCAACCCTGAGCTGTCAGAGGGGCCCCTCCCATGCAGAATGAAGCTCTGTGTGGTCCCGCCGTCCTCACAACCCCTGCTGCGTCAGAGCCCAAGGCTGCGGCCTAGTGTCAACCCATCACCTTGACGGTCGCGCTCTCTTTCACAGACCTTTGACTTCACCCAACACGATGTCTTTGCCCCAGGGACCGGTCTCTCCTGACAGCATGTCCCAAGGACTTGAGGACAACACAAGGCAAAGGCTGAGGTTGTCCACACTGCGGGTTGGGGAGGGCCTTCACCATGGGAAGCGCTGATATGTAAGCGTCTGCGGCCTTCTCTACCGCGTGGGGACCACTGTGCCCATGTTCCCTCCATAAGGCGTCATTTCTGCTCCATTCCTGTTATTGGGCGCCCAGTCCCCAGGAGGCCACCTGGGGTGGGCAGGGCAGGGAAGCCAGCCTCTGGCCCCTGGGGATTGCACCCAGGCCAAGATCTGGGCAGCTCCACCTGGCTTGGAAGCCAGGAACACACACTGGCCGGCCCTGAGCTGAAACTCGTCACCCCAAGGCAGAGGCGGAGCAGGGGATTACTCTGAGAAGATGCAGCCCAGCTTTTTCCTCAGGGCTGAGGACCCCCTCTGTGGAAACACTTAATGAAATGGGAGCGTTGGCTTCTGAAAAACCCATCTGCCTTTTAAAAGAGAAAAATGTCCACTATTGGTCTTGTTAACTATTTCCTTCCCTTCCAGACGCAATTCAAATCGGATTCTCCCTCGAAGAGTCATAAAGAGAGCTAGTGCTTCTCACGACGTCCGTGCAGACCAGGCACTGGGCAGAGCGCTGCAGGAGCATTCTCTTTCAGTCCCCCGCACAATCCAATGAGGAAGTGATCACGTTCACTGAGCAGATGTGGAAAATGAGGCAGGGGGAGTTAAGCTAGGAAACTTTGCTCAAGGTTCAAAGCCAATACCAACTTCAAGTGACGGCGATTCTAAAAGACCACTCTGTAGCCACTCACCCATCCTTCCATTCATGCACCCCTACTCATCCTGCTACCCCCACCCTTCCCTCCAAGCACTCCCCCACTCATCCATTCATCTCTCCACCTGCCATCCACCGCCCCACCCGTCCACCCACCATCCACCCCTCACATCCTCCAGCCCCTCATTCACCCCCTCACCCATCTTCTGTCCACTCCTTGACCACCCCTCCTCCAGCTACCACTCAACCCATCCATCCATCCACCCCTCACTCATCCACCCAACTATCCATCCATGTCTCACCCATCATCCATCCACTACCCCACTCATCCACCCCCACCCATCTAGCCAGTCACCGACTCATCCCATCAGTAAACCATCCATTCATCTCCCTATCCATCCATACTCTACTCAAGCATTGACTGAGTCAGACCCTAAGCTGTGTGCTAAGCAGACACAGGGATTGCCCTCTTTAGCTATATATTTAAATATATAAAATTAGAAACCTGGCTTTGTCCTGGAGGAATTTAGAGTCTAGAATAATGGTTCTCAGCCCTGGGCACACCACAGAATCATCTGAAGGGGTTTTCAAAAAAAAAGAAAATTTGATGCTGGCCACACCCCTGACCAATTAACCCAGACTCTCTGGGAGTGGGATCGTTAGGATTAAAAAAGCCCACATGGCCAGACCTTCCCAGGTGACTCTGGTGTGCAGCCCAGTTTGAAAACCAATGCTACAGCAGGGCTTCTCCAAGTGCCATCCCTGGGCCAGCGGTGGCTGCAGAAGCATCTCCTGGGACTTGTTAGATGTGCAAATACTCTGGGGCCAGCCCAAATCTTTACCCGGGAATCAGAAACACCGGGGGTGGGGGTGGGGTGCTGGGGGTGCTGCAGGCTGCATACTCGCAAGCTGCGGGTGGTTCTGAAGCCAATTCGGACACTGCCCTGGAGTCCTTATGAGAGAACCTGCATTTCTTACAGGCGTCCACATGCTGCCACAACTGCCGGTCCATCAGCCTCACCCAGGGGCCCGGCTCCAGCCCAGCAGTTTGCAAACTCTTGTTTGTATCAGGAGCCCTGGGGGTGCCATGGGGGCTGGCTGCAGGGGGCGGCTAACCCCCAGGTCAGCAGCTCTGCAGAAGAAAGAGGAGGGTTTCTTCTCCCATGGAGATTTACAGCCTCAGAAACCCCGGGGGCAGGTCTACTCTGTCCTCCATGCTTGCTGTGAAGGGAAACTGATGGCATGGCAGTAAGTTTGGGGTTTTGGAAATTTCACACTTTAAGAATTGATCAACAATAAAATAAAATAAGTAAGAAGTGGTTACCTGCGTCTTTCATGAGAACGTACACCTGGGAGGGCAGGACCTGGCTCAGTCTTGCTCACAGTTATCCAGGTATTTACACAGGGTCTGGCACATACAGGTGACTTTTAGAAACGACTTATGGGGACACGAGGGGACTTCCAAAAGGTCATGGTACAAATGAGTGAAAAGGCAATGGAAGTTTTCCATGACCGTCTGGAAGCCCCCTTCTCATGCACGCGTCCTGTGGTTAAGTCAACCTTATCTCCATTTTCTGGAAGAAGAGAACTCGTAGGGCAGGTATTTGCCCAAGTGTGCAAGTGTCAGGGCTGGAATACACACCGGGCCTGGCTGACTCCTGATCCAAAAGGTATGATGGACAGTGGCTGTTGGGAGGCGGCACAGAATTGCCCCTGAGGGGTAGCGGATGGCTATCTCCTGCCCAGTCCCTGAAGGCAGGGGGCCTCAATGCCTAGTGCCTAGTAGGTTCCCCACTGTTGACTACGTGATGGGGCAAAGAAAGAAATGCGTGAGAAACTCTCCATCCGATCTCTCCATGTTGGGGGGCCCCGGGGGCATCACGAGCATGCGTCCGAAAGGACAGCTCTCCAGTTAACCATGTAGCCTACAACACATGTCTACCGCACACTTAGTTGAGTTCAGTCGACCACAGGATCCAAGTCACTTTCCTGGCATCAGGGCTTTTAAAATTTTAATACAGTGATTTTCGCTATGCGATTGTACCACACATTCCATTCCTTGAAGTGTCACTAGCGCTCAGGATGGGCTGGCATCTACACTGTCATCGCCCTGGAACTAGCGTGAGAGACAAAGACAAGGTGAGAAGGTTGGATCTTAGATGTGTCGACGCACCTGCAACATGGTGGAGAGTTCTCGTCAAAGTTGCAGGTGAAAGATGAGCGTACAGACCCTCAATGTGTGAAGCTGGCGGATTGTGGGGAAGCACTCACATCCATTCAAGAAAGGTGAGAGTCCAGGTTGTATCCTCTCACCATGCTTATCCAACCTGTATGCTGAGCAAATCACCCGAGAAGCTGCACTATAGGAAGAAGGATGCAACACACGGATCGGAGGAAGGTTTTGTTAACCACCTATGATATGCAGATGACACAACTTTGCTTGCCGAAAATGGAGAGGACTTGAAACGCATGCTGATGAAGATCAAGGGTTGCAGCCTTCAGTGTGCGTTACAACTCCAAATCCTCACCACGGTACCATAGGAAACATGATAAATGGAGAGAAAATGAAGGTGTCAAAGATTTGGTCTTGCTTGCATCCACAATCAGTGCTCAGGGAAGCAGTTGATCAAGAGATCAACCAACACATTGTGTTGGGCAATCTGTTGCACAAGACTCTTTAAAGTTCGGAAAAGCAAGGAGGTTACTTTGAGGACTAAGGTGCACCTGACCCGAGCCATGGTACTTTCAATGGCCCTGTATGCATGTCAACATTGGACATTGATTAAAGATGACCGAAGGAGAATGGATGCTTTTGAAGTATGGTGCTGGTGAAGAATACTGAACGTGCCATGCATGGACTGCCCAAAGAACAAACAGGACCTGTCTTGGAATAAATGGAACCAGAGTGCTCCTTAGAAGCAAGGATGGCGAGACTTCATCTCACATACTTCGAACCTGCTGTCAGGAGAGACGAGACCCTGGAGAAGGACATCGTGCTTGGTCAAGTCGAGGGCCAGCTAAAAAGAGGAAAGCCCTCGGGCAGATGGATCGACCAGTGGCTTCAGCCCTGAGCTTCAACATAAGAAGAGTCGTGAGGCTGGCCCAGGCCCGGGCAGTGCGTTGTTTGGTTGTGCAGAAGTTCGCTATGGATTGAAACCAACCTGACGACATCGACTCATGACAACTCATATATGTGGGGCTTCAACATTTTCACGGAAAAACATCCCATCATGTTTTCATTGTTTGTCCATGGACTTTCTGAAGCCCCCTCAAAGATGTTAATGCTATTGTCAAGTGCATTTCTTTAAACACATGCACTATTCATTTCTAGCATGGACCTATTATAATCACAAGGTCGGAGGTTCAAACCCACCAGCTGCTTCCAGGGAGACAGATGAGGCTGTCGGCTCCCATACAGCCTGGTAAACCCCTCAGAGAGCCGCAGTGAGTCAGCGACAAGCCTATGGGTCATGCAGTCAACTGTGATTGGTGTCGTGGGCTGTGTTGTGCTGCTAGCTCAGAGGTCAGCAGTTTGAGATCACCACCTGATCCTCAGGAGAAAGATAAGGCTTTCTATCCTAGTGAAGAGTCACAGCCTCAGAAACCCACAGGGGCAATTCTCGTCTGTCCTGTGGGGCGTGATGAGTCGAAGGGACTGGATGGCAGTGAGGTGATAGCGTTGCGGTTCTACCCCCACCCCAAGCAGTGCTGTCTAATCTCTCAGAAGGAGAAGAAACAAACACACACTTACTTACTTATAAACTTGCCAGTTCAGCTCACTTCATTGGCGTGCACACATGATGCGGTTGGTGTAATAGCATTCCTATTTGACAGACGATGTACTTACTGGCGCCGAAAGAGGCCAGGTATCTGAAAAGGGCAGTGCCAGATGGCAAAGGAGCCACTGGGGGGCTTGTGGGTCCACGCTGGGACCTCCTGCCTCTCAGGGGTCCTCCCTGCACTGGGAACCTGCCACCCCCATCAAGGAGAAAGAGTGGACCAGAAGGTAGGGGGCAGAAGGCCAGGCAGGTGGACTGCTCAGGCTGGCAGCTGAAGATCCCTAGCCACAGAAGCTCACGGTCCATCTCACAGGACAGAGAAGGAAAAGTGGGCATCCTGTTACCCCGCCAGCTCTGCCTTCTCTGAACTGGGGCAATTTGGGTGATAACTCCCTTATCAAAAAATGAGCTGGGGGCTTGTGGGGTCTGGAGTTGGGAAACTGGGATCTGCAGACTCTTAAGAGCCGGGCAGGATCTGGATGTTTGGGTGGGTGGGTGGGCGCTCTGGAGCCTGGGTGCTGCTAGTTGCATGTGGGGGGGGGGGGCAAGGGGGCTTTAAGTGGAATACTTAAAGGCTCCAAGTCGCAGCTTCCACATCTGTTAAGATGGGCTGTCAACCACAGAGGGTAAAACACTGGGGACTGCGTCAGAGAGCAGGCATTAGAGTCGGCTGCCTAGGGTCTAGTTTTGGCTCTGTCCTGTGTGTTGTGGGTCAGCTTGACAGGGCCGCTGAGCCTCTCTGCAGGTGAGAGTACAGCTGAGAACTGAAGCTGCACCTCTGTGTCATGGAGGTTACCCGGTTGATGCACACAGTGCCTGGCAGGCAGCAGCGCTCAGGGGGCTTGCTGCGATGGTGATGGCCATGGAGGAGGAGGTTGGGTCTGGATTTACGCCGCACTGAGCTGCGCCCAGCACAAAGCATGTGCTCCCAAACATCAGCACCAGCTCGCCACCACGCATTCTAGCATCTGGCTTTGAGATGGACCGTGAAATGCGACAGAACTCAGAGAGAAAAGCAGCCACGCCCCCACCACCCCTATGTGTGTGGGACAACTCGAGGGACCAGCTGCGTGCCTTTGCCCTGGTGTTTAGGAGAGGGTAGGGTCCCTGAGGGCGTCCCAGGCTACATGTTGGGCTGCTACCCAAAAAGGCAGCAGTTCGAAACCGAAGTTTCACTGTGGGAGATAAATGAGGTTTTCTACTCCCAGAAAGATGCGGGGCGGTCTCAGAAACCCATAGAGGCAGTGCTACTTCGCTTGGTGTTGTTCGGTGCTGGCTGGCTGGTGGGTTCAAACTGCTGGCCTTCTAGTTAGCATCTCAGCTTGTAACCCTCTCAACTACAAGGACAATTGCCCTACCACAAACCAGAGCAAACTCACGGCCGTCGAGTTGATGCTGACTCACAGTGACGCTATAGGACCCCGTGAGTGTCGGAGACTGTAACGCTTTATGTGAATAGAAAGCTCCGTCTTCGGCAGAGCAGTCAGTGGTTTTGAACTGTTGACCTTGCAGTTAGCAGCCCAACTCCTAGCCACTATGCTTTATGTGAATAGAAAGCTCCGTCTTCGGCAGAGCAGTCAGTGGTTTTGAACTGTTGACCTTGCAGTTAGCAGCCCAACTCCTAGCCACTATGCCACCAGGGCTCCTTAACTATCCTGCAGGAGCGGCAAACTTAAATGCCTTCTGGGGCCAGGCAGGCCCCATCCATGAGCAAAAAGAGCCCAGGCTAGAACAAAAGGGCGTATGATGACCGGAGTGCTGCCTCTCATGCAAGGGGCAGGTGTGTCCCCTGGGGCAGCAGGGCAGAAGCAGGGGCATCAGGTCACGGGAGCTCTTGGTGTTTCAAGTGAAACCAGGAATCCTGGTTTGCATGCGAAGTCTCCCGGCGGTGACCAGCACCAGGCAAAGCAGAGGCCTGGCAGAGAGCCGGGTGGGCGGCGGGCTGCCAGGCTGCAGCGGGATTTGAAGTCACGCTGATGATTTGCGCTAGAGGAAAACTGCAGTGGAATAAAGGTTCGCCATTCACCACGCCCCGAGGTGTGCCTGGCCCAGGACAAAACATTCGCTCATTCAATCCTTGCAACAAGCACCCGTCTGAACCAACCAGTTGTCCTCAAGTGAACTCCCGGTAACCTCAGGTGTGTCCAAACAGAGCTATGCGTCCCGCGTTTTCAACAGCTGCTCTCTGGGGGGACGCCGGCCTTCTACTTTTCTGTTAACAGTTGAACACGTTACCCATTTGCACCGTCCAGGGAAAGGGGTATTATTAGAAGCCCATTTGACAGGTGAGAATACTGAGGCTCAGAGAGATTAGACATTTGGTCCAGGTCACTTGGCTGGGAAGCGCTGGGACCCAGCTCTTCGTGAGCTGGAAGCTGGTGTGCTCAGTTCTCTGTGGGCGTGGCTAGTTGCCATGGAGACTCAGAGTGGACCCCATAAGACAGAGTAGAACTGTCCTGGGAGTTTTCTAGACTGTAATCTTTACAGATGGAGGTCAACACGTCTGCCTCTCTTGGAGGCCCTGGGTGGGTTCGAGCCGGCAACTTTTAGGTCAACAGCCACATGCATAACCAGTAGGATGCCAGGGCTCCTTCCTTTCCCTCAAACCAAACTCGCCGCCATAGAGGCGATGCTGACTCACAGTGACCCTATAGGACAGAGTGGAACCGATTCTGTGGGTTTCTGAGGCTGCAACTCTTCAGGGGAGCAGAAAGGCTTATCTCTCTCCCTCTGGTGCCCCAAGATGGCAGGAAGAGGGAGGGCGTGTTCTCACCTCCCCCCGGTTTTGGCCCTGGGGGGAGCTCAGAGCCTCCTTGGTGGTACTTTTAGCAGGATTGTTCCAGCTTCATAACCAGCCCGCAAGTGACATGTCATTGTTCTGGTGACAGCAACCATTACTCACGGAAGCTTTGATTTGCTTGGAAGCCGGTAAATTCCTTGCGACTTTATACTCGATTGGACACACGAGAGCTCTCTGGTTTCCCATGACAGCCGCAGAGCTTGTGTGCCCCACAAGCTGGCATCCAACATCAACAGCAAAGGAGTGACCGGAGACGGGGTGGGAGGGTGGGGTGGGGGTGGGGTGTCTCAGAACCCCTGCAGCAAATCCCAGAGCGGACCCAGGAAAGGGTTAAGCCCAATGGTTAAACATAATAGCTTAATGCCTTCTGCTAACTCCCAGCTCAACCAGGAAGGCTGACAGATCCCAAACAGAACAAACAATAGCTGGAATTGTTCTAGTGGAAACTAGTCCAGCCGCATCCTTTGCCAATACTTTTTTTTTTTTTTTCTTAAAGAACAGCCTCTACTCTCTCCCTGCTTCCTTGACTTCAGCCCAACCTGAAAGCATCAGGCAGATGCATTCTCGCCCTAATAACACACCCCGTTCCCAAGACTGGGCTGGGAGCTCCGGTCCTGCCGGCCACACCCCTGGCCAGGCCCGGGACCCACACCTGAGAGTGACTCTCCCGGGTGCTCAGAGGCACTGGGACTTGCCAGCATTTCCTGGAACTGGAGAGCAGGGCAGGAAGTTCCGCCCCGGCCAGGCGAGCACACTTCTGCTGTGAAAGACTAGCTAACAGTTTGTGCTGCGCACACCAGCCTGGAGAACGCTGGCCCAGAGGCAGCCACTGAGCCGGCGGCAGGAGACGGTGATCGTGACAGGACTTGGGCAAAGACACTTTTCCTCAGACCAGGAGCCCCCTTCCTGTATTCCGAGGGATGAGCATGAAGCCACGGGGGTCCTCAGAACTCACCCCCGGAGGCCTACCTTCTATGCCACTCAGAGTCCGGGCATCAGCATCAGCAGGGTTAGGCTTCACGTTATCCGGACAATCGCTGTTTACAGTAAGGCTGGGTGAGATCACTGGTTCTAGCATTTCCTTATACCTGGAAGAAAACAAAGGGAGATATAATTTATTCATTAATTATGCATGCCTACTAATGATTCCCATTTTTGTGTTCCCTAAGAGTATAAATATTAAAGCTGATTACCTAAACCCAGCCTTCTTATAAATTCTACATCATAAAAATTCACGAAAGTTTTCATCAAAGGGAAATGAGGAATTAAAATGAAGTACTGGCTCTCCCTGGGAGAATACACCCACTTGATTAAAACTTTCCCCTCCTTCCTACCAGGGGTTTTGCCACTAGAAAAATGACTTGGGTTCCCTGTGAAGTGTCACCTGGCTGAGCTGGAGCCAGCCAGGGGGGCAGCGGGTGGGAGAGACAGGTAGGCAGGGAGTCGCAGAAGCGAGAGGCTTGGCGAGAACTTGGACAGGGTGCTGTTTCTCTAGATGGAGAAAGTGAAAACGGAGCACAGTCAACAAGTCCCCCCAGGCAACACAATGTTCAGCCCTCACTGTGACCTTGAGAGAGGAAGAACACCAGGCCTAGGCGTCCTCGGTAACATTGTGTCAAAAACCCAACAGTGCAATACACTGACAGGAACAATACAGTGTTACAGGGAAGAGGAGGCAGGCAGCTCCTTGGATCTTGCTCAAGTTTTATTGAAAACTGTCCCAATTCTGGGTAACTCATGTCAGCGTTATCCTCCCCATCCCTCAATCTCTACCCACTGGGGTTAGGAGCCCTGGGGGCTTAGTAGGTATGAATTGGGTTGCTAACCCAAGGTCAGTAGTTCAAAACCACCAGTGGTTCTTTAGGAGAAAGAAGAGGCTATCAAGAGTTACAGTCTCAGAAACCCACCGGGGCAGTTCTACCTTGTCCAATAGTATGCATTGGACTGCTAGTTGAAATGTTGGTTAAAACCTACCAGCCACTGTGCAAGAGAAAGATGAGACTGCTTCTGAAAAGATGCAGTGTCGGAAACCTTATGGGGACAGTTCCACTCTGTCCTTTGGGTTGCTGGGTACTGGAGTCAACTTGATGGCAATGGATATGATAGTTAGGAAAATGAGGCCTGGTAGTGCAGTGGGCTAAGCGCTGGATTTCTCATGGAAAAGCTGAGGGTCCAAACCCACCAGCTCCACAGGAGAAAGGCGTGGTAGCCTGCTTCTATGTAGATCAGAACCTTAGCAGCTGGATGGGCAGTCCAGCTCTGTCCAGCACCAACAGGTTTGGTTTGGATGGTAGTGGTAAGAAAATGAGATTTCTGTCTAATCCACACAACATGGTACGTGGTGTAGCTGTTTTCAAGACTCAACTAGCCGCCAGATACATTTATTTAACGTTGGTCTCAACTCTCCCGAGAGAAGGGTTAAATGCACTGAGTGTACGTCAGGGTGAGGGGGGCAGCATTAGCAGGGTCAGCTACTGCTGCAAGAATGAAGCACAGACATAGTCGTGATCGACTCCAAATATGTTGTGAAACAGATGTGCTACTCGAGACCCTGAGCAAGTTAGCAAACTCTTCTGAGTCTAGGTTTTCCCATTTGGAAAATGGGGTTGATCAAAGAGCCTCCCTGAGAAGGCCATGGGGAAGGCTAAACGAGATGACGCATGCAAAGAAAGGACTTTGTAAGAACGCTGTCTAAGTGCCCATCACCACGGTAGGAATCCACAGGCAGTGTGTTCTTACAATGGAAGATAAGGCAACAGTGAGAAAGCCTGAACCTGAGCCACACAGGACACAGCGGCAGAGCTCCAAAGGAAGTTCTCAACAAAGGGGCCAGCAGGTGTGGATAGTGCCATTTCTGGGATGTTCAAAACGCTCGAATCAATACCAGACGTTGTTTGTTGCCGTGTGCTGTTGAGGACATGCTGACTCGTTGCAGCCTATTATGACAGCAAACTGCCCTGCAGGGTTCTTTCCGAGGCTGTATGTTTGCTAGGAGCTGATCGCCAGGTCACGCTTCTCTTGAAGATGATGATAGGTTTGCACCTCTCTGACCTGGGGATTAGCAGCCACGTGATTAATAAATGTGCCACCAAACCCACTGCTGCTGAGTTATTTCAACTCCACAGCACCCTTGGAAACTCGATGGGGCAGTTCAACTCTGCCGATAGATAGGGTCTCTATGGGTTGGATTGTGCCACCAGGGCTTCTTATCTGCCATATGGGGGGATGGAAAGTAGCCCTGACAGTACAATGGTTAAGTGCTAAGCTGCTAATCAGAAGGATGGTGGTTCAAACCCACCCCGTGGCTCCTTGCAAGCAGGATCTGGCCATCTGCTCCTGCAAAGATTACAGCCCAGGAAACGCTGTGGGGACAGTTCTACCCCATTACATGGAGGTGGAACTCAACCACACCCAACAACAAAAGGGAAACAGACACCTGCAACACAAAGGTAATTATCTGTATGAGAATGAGAAGCACCAATTTCAGGAGACTAACTGTGGAAACAATAAAACCAGCCCCACTCCTGTTGAGTTGATTTTTCCAATGGATGGATCTTAGGAAGGTTGACAGGCCTTTCTTCTAGGGGATCTCTGTGTGTTAACCATCTGTACCACCCCAGGACTCTCTGGGAAGAACAGGAGAATGCAGTTGGGAAGTGGTACCTTGGGCCAAGTATATTTGTAGTGTTCTAGTTGAGAGGGGGCACAAACTATAGGCCACAGGTCACATCTAACCCACAGCTTGGTTCTGTATGACTCATGAGCTAAGAATGATATCTTTGTGATGTGTTGCTGTTGGTAAGTTCTAATTCATAGCAAGCCTATATACAAGGTGCTGATGGCAGCCAGAGCCCTGGAGCTGGAGGAGCCATGAGGAGATCCACACCAGTGCTGAGATGCTTCCACCGCTACTGGATCCACAAGACTTTCCACCCACTGGCCTGTGATCTTCCTGCATTCAGCATCGTTACATGTGTTGTGTGAGTCTGAAGAGGAATTTATAGA